ATGCAGAGCAGACCATCCAAGACCACCCATTTTTCAGAATTCCTTAAAGCCTCCAGGGAGCAGAGGAGTTAATAAAACTGAAGATACTTTTTTGTTGTTGTTTCAAAAACATATTTTATGTTGATATAGATAAATGTGTCCACCAAAGGAAAAGTTTGCATAATAGTTTATGTAGATGACACAATAGAGACGGTATAGAATACCTTGGAGTTGGAGTGTTGAGGTTGTCATATATGGGCCATCACATTTGTGTTGTTAGGTTTTCTCTTCTTCTTTTTTAGTAAGCCTTCATTTAAGCTTTGGTGGGCAAACTCTACCTCAATTATTTTGTTTCTGTGAAGTCCCATTGCTCTCAAGAGCACTATTCAGGCATGAGAAACCACACAAGTTTCTATCTAATTTTGAAAACTACTTTGCGAGCTTTCAGACTCAGAGCCTCAGGACAATTTTTGCTCAAATATTAGATGTTATTGGATTTTGGAGACTTTCTACAGAAGGCCTTTCCCAATCCTCATTTCATATATCACTCCCCAGGCGGAAACCATAGGTGTGGCATTGGAAATTATTTTTTTTCAGCAAACCAGAAATGAATTCTCAGCACCACTAAAGTTTTCATTTCTATCTACAAATATATAAATTTTTTACCAAAATAACTACTATGGCCTAGCAGTAGTGGTTAATCTGTAAAATGTATTTTGTGGCTAGTTGAACACTTTTGAAAGTAAATAAGTGCTTGTTTTTCATAACAGAATGAGTGGTTTGCTGCAGTTCGATGACTCAGGACAAAATAATGGATCTTGGAATCACTCATTGTCCTGCCGTTGCCAGTGTAAATCTGGCCAAGATGCATAATGGCTGAAAGCTCTTGCAAAATTAGTGTCTGCTCTATGCCTTACATAAAATATATACTGCCTGAGGAGAGACAGCCAAGTAACAAATCTTACCACTGTCATTGGCATCCACACTGGCGATCTCAGAAGAAGTCAGCTTTCTGAATGTCATGAAAAACGAGGCGATGTCTCCAGGTCAGGACTGTGAGACAGATTGTTATTGAAAGCTTGAAGGGCTCTTGCATTTCCATGTGGAGCAGCTGGGGAGGGGGGGGAATGAGCTTTTAAGATGGAACTTGATCAGTTCGTGAGAAGAATTGTACGATACAATTGTCACAGCAGAAAAATGGATGTAGTGACACAGCAAATAGCTCTGCAGTTATGATCCTGAGTGCTATTCCTATCCTGTGGGTAAAAAAAAAAAAAAAAAAAAAAGAAACAAAATCATCAGGATTGTCGAGGTAGCAGCTTTTTATAAGCTGAACTTCACAGTTATTTTTGCAGCAGCGATTCCTTTATCGTAAGGGGACAGAACGTGAAAAGGCAAATAATATGAATTCAGTTCAGTCAGTCAAACCGGCACTTCCATACAACCTTTTATGCAAACTGCTAAGGGCACTTTACTATCACATAGAATAAAAGCCAAAAATAAGTTTAAATGCCAAGTCAAACAAATACATCTTGCCAAAGACTCAAAATCATATGAATAAGGACTAAGGAGTTCAGCAGATTTGGAACATAATGCTTTAAATAAGTCTTAGCCTCCAAATATACCTGTCAATACGGAGAAGAGATAATAAATTATCATAGCAGGATTGAGAAGCACATGCCAGAATGTGAGGAATACAAAGGCTCTGGACGGTCCCCACACAGAGTAAGTCCATCTGTTACGCTTATTTGTTTTTTCTAGGTGTAGGGGCAATTGCAGTGATTAGGTTCAGTGGAGCAGGCACTAGCTGACTGCTGGCTTTTTGCAGTTTCTTCTTCTTTTCTTCTAAAGTCTGAAGGAAAGTTTTTGAAATCCTCAGAATTAAAGATACGATGGAAGTGTAAAACCAAATCCATTTTTCAGAATGCTTGACCATGTTCAATTCTTGTTCAGAGATGCTCAAGAGAAGCAGGGAGACACACCTTGCTGTTTTGGTTTTACCAGTTTCACGTGGGTGAAGCTCTGAGGGAAGGTGTACTTAAGCAGGTCAGCCTGAGTCATTCAGCTGATTTTAGAAAATATTGCTCTAATACCACAGTATGGAACAACTGCGTGCTGGAGACACCTGGGTTTTCAGTTGTCATCGGAGCCAAGAGTTTTCTAATTGCTTACAAGAGATGATAGACTAAAACCGCTTACTAAAAACGAAGCCCATAAATGATTCTTGCTACAAAGGCCAGTTCAGGTTGGAGTAAGATTTTTCTTCCTGTGTTCTGAAATCTGCACTACAGACAAAGGTGAGGACTACGTAACAGAGCGTAGCACACAGATGGAACTACTCCTGTGGCAGAAAGCTTGATGCCTTTCAGAGGCAGGATACTTTGAAATATTTCCTGTTCCAGAAGGGCAAAGCTTTGTGTTCTTAGACGAAAGGAAATCTCCCAATCTACCACACGCACTTTTTTTTTTTTTTTTTAAATAAAGGATAATAGAAGTTCTGTAAATGCAAACTTTCTTTTGCACAGAAGCAACCTAAAATGGAGACAACATATGTGGTTTGAATGTACAAACCAAACAGTTCAGAGATCCTCCTCAGAAGAAATATAACGTCTCAAGGGCATTGTATATTTTGATTGTTTCATCTTCTGAAAGTTGCAGTTATGCTAGGGTATGTGATAAACTGAGAGAGAAAAGTTTAATGATGAACCTACGGAAGTCAATAAAAGTTTTCCTGTTGACTGCACTGGAAGCAGATTCAGTGCATATACCATTCATGAACTGAACAAACAAGTCCTAAAAACTCAGTTTGGCTGCTTAAAAGATCAAGCAAATAAAGGAATAAAGTCACATAAGCTGTTTCTGTGTGCAAAAAGGCTGTGGGTTACAGGATTAATTTTTTATAGTATATCTCTATACCTTGAATAACCAAGTAAGCCTTAACTTGTGGAATCTTAATAGCCATCTCATTGCTGAAGTCTAAAGGAAACCCAGAGGAAACTTAATAATATTAAAAGTTATTTTAAAGGGAGTTCACATTGGTTTGAAGGGTATTTTGCTTCGCACACAATATCCACCATTGTAAATTCAGAGAACCTAGATTTAAATTCAGAAAACCTCCACACATCTTTACAGCCCTCAGTATATAAATCTAATACTATTCTTAAAATGTCCACCAGTAAGGTATTAATCTTTTACAGATAAAATTAAAATTCTGAAAGTCATTGGAACAAAAAATAAAGAAAAATAGTAAAAATATTCCCTCTAGAAATGAGGGGGAAACTTGGAACTTTGTGGTGAGAGGCTAGTTTGTCCATGTTGCAATGAATAGAGAATAGTCTGTACAGTTTTTCATATCTGACTTGCAAGAGAAGATTGGGACATATAGAAATTAATGTTACTGAATTATTTAATAGTAATTCAAACACATGAAAAGAAGAATTAAAGAAACACAAGGCCAAAAATCCATTTAAAATTAAATCAGAAGCTTCAACAAATATAGTTTTCCCTCGCAGTCAAAAAAGTAATTAACAAAATTGTTCAGAATATGTTGCCAATTACTCTGCTCCATAACTGCTAACTTTCTCAGTTCTTCTCCTGCCTTTGCTGGGCTCTCTGTCACTGGAAACATCTTAAACCAATTTAAAGTGCTACACCTGAATAAACATGTTGTAAAAGTGTTTATGTATTGAAGTGGGTCAGTTCAAGGTATGGTATTTGGCTGGAACTTCTAATTTCTCTTTTTACTGCAAAAGGGCTGCCAGAAGGAGGAAGTCTGAGCTGAATTAATACATTTGTTACAGTGGAAGTAGAATGGAAACTACTTTAACCACAAATCAAACTGCCTCTTTCATTTACGCCAGTGATAGAGTTTTTCTAAGAAATATAGACTCTGGCGTACAGCCACTGTAAGTTTGTGTTTGAAAAGGAAACCTATATGCTTATTTCTATAAGGTTTACTCTTATGCTTATTTGCAAGTTCTTGCTCAGGATGATTGAGTTAACGGCGTGATACGCTTGTGAGGCAGATGCTCCTTCCTCGCCCGCCTAGCAAACTTTTTCCAGTCGGTTTAGCACAATCCCCGGGCGCCCCGATGCCGCGCAGCGCAGGCAGTGCCTGTGCCCGCACCTTCCCGTTTAAAGGACCTCTGTGTCCCCCACCCAGCACAGCTGCACAGCTTCACATGACACTGTCTCATTTTCTGACGGTTGAAGGGCTCTGCATAATACACGTACGCACAAAAGTGTTTACGCTGCCAAAATAAATTCTGTTAAGAGCAAGGGTTTATTTGTTAAAATGTCACTGATGCAGTTTCAGTGACTTGTTTTGCTTTCTTTTCTTTTACTGAGGTTTAGATCCTATAATATAGTGAGGTTACCACACAGTCCTGACTGAACAAATACTTTAAAGAAATATGCACATCCCCTGGGAACAGAACCAAAGTTAATAATGTACATATTTCAAACTCTGTTCTCCTGAACAACTGAATGCCTTCCTACCTTTACTAGTGAATGAACATCAGTTTGAGTAACACTGCACGATATTTATTTTTAAAGCAGAAGTATATTTATTATCTACACTTCTCTTTTTGCTACCGATTTGCTTTGGGGATATAAGGTTCCATATCTCACACTGAAGTGATGCAAAAATTAGATGACTGCATTACATTATCCTTTCGATAGCCTATAGACTTTAATGGGGGTCATTTATTTTTCAGTTCTATACATGCGTACATGAGACTGAATTAAAATATCTGAGTAATGAATAAGATATATAGCACACAGAGACTGCAATTTTATGCAATGACAAACTTAACTGTAAAGCTGTTGAAACTTTTGTAAATCGTTGAATTTTTTTATCTTTTAAGTTCCGTTCCACAAAATGCAGTTAAGATTCTTAATCACGTAAATTCAGGATTATGGGCAAAATCCTTGCCATGCTTCAGTCAGCAGTTGAACTCCCACCGTGGCTTCAGGAGGGGCAGAGTTTCACCTTTTAACTTACAATTTCCATTACTTCATAGGTCGAAGTATCAATGTCAAATCTGCTGGCCTGATTGGAAGACATGGGCCTCAGTCAAAGCAACCATTCATGGTTGCGTTCTTCAAGGCAAGTGAAGTGCTTTTCCGTTCTGTCCGAGCGGCCAACAATAAAAGGAAAAATCAGAACCGCAACAAATCCAGTAGTCATCAGGAGTCTTCTAGGATGCCAAGTGTCGGGGGTAAGATGAAGCTATGATTTACTAGTCTGTTTAAAGGAGTTATGGGCACCTGCTCAAATGCAGTGGAGTCACAGCAGCTTAACAAGATATTGTTCAGTGGCTGAACTGTCAGAAACTGTGTTCCTGCTCAATTTTGACCTGCACCCCCCCTCCCCCCCATCCCTCAGCTTTGGTCTTTTGCTATGTTGGCCCAGAGCATGATCCACCTTCTGTGAGTAAGGTCACTTACATGTTTCACGGGCTGCTGGATGGTGAAATGCCCAAGGAGTTTGGGAAACTAGTTCTATGTAGCAGGCAACTGGATGGGATCTTTGCTACACATGACAAAAAGGTAGAGAGAGTAGAGAGGAAGGTTGCACCCCAACTGCTTGTCAAGGAAGCCTCAGCAAAAGACCGTGTTTGGACTCTTGTTTAACTGCCTCTCAGCTGAAGAAGCCAAGATGTAACACAAAAGTCTGAATACTGGAAATAAAGAAGCTTAACCAATTTGTGAAAGTGTAAACTGTTTATGAGTTCAGACCAGCTGACATGTATTGACATAAATAGAGTGTATCCCTGAATGGGAGTGAATTAGATCCCTTATTTACCTGAAAAGTACTGACAATAAAGCACGTGAAAACATTCTTAGTCCCATTAAAGCCTGAGTAAGTTTTGCTCCAATTCTTTCCTGAAATGCTCCTTCAGCTGAAGGCACAAAGTCACTTTCTAAACATTCTCATTTTTGAACAAACATTCCTACTTTTCGGATACAGGGTGTGAAAATGTATCTTTCTAAAAGTATGGTAATTCTAGTACCAGCATATCAAAACCTTAATGTAGATGCTACTCTTAAGCTCTGTGGATGTCTACAAGTAAGCAAATTAGTATTTATTGGGAAAAAATCAGCCCTGAAGTGGAACACATCTATTTGAGGAGAACCATTATGAGCATTAGGCATTACTTATATCCATCTCAGAACCTCCAAAGTGGCAGACTAGAGACTCCTCTAATGTAATGCATAAGCCTTTCCCTAATCTTCTGCACAAGGATGAATTTTGCCCTAACAACCACAAACTGCTACTGAGTTGCTAAATAAGTCATAGAAATTATCTTAATAACTTATCTTTCTAAACTTATTTAAAGTTTACCTGGTGATATACTGGAATAAAATCCCACTATAAGATTAAAAATGAGTATTAAAACATATCCTGGAAAAAAAAAAATAATCTACTGCTTCAGTAGTGGGCTCAATTTTATTTATGTATGATGTATAGGTGGTAAAAATACTGTGCTATTTCTCTAGTTTCCGCTGAGGACCTGTAGCATAGTTATTTCTGAGGTAGATGACTTAGAGAGATGCACGTGTTTCCTCCGAGGACTCTAGCTTTTCAAAAGTCCCTGACATTTGTTAAGGCACCAGGGATCTCTATTTACAACTGTGTTTTGTTAGGGATTTTGGTTTGGTTTTTTTTTTAGTATTTCCAAGTTTTCTGATATGTTGTATAGCTGTACCACAAATAGCTCATCTGCACAATTGACTTCTAACCTCTTTTTAATCCATATTGAAGGGGAGCAGTTATTAATATGTAATGAAAAAAGTCCCAAAATAGAAAATTTTAGCTCTTTACTAGTAAAAAAAAAAAAATACATGCTCTATAGCTGAAACACCGTTTTAAAAATTATTCATTATTTATAAAGTTATATTGACTAAATATTCTCTCTTCATTAACTGCTTAAATTTCTGATTTTTTGAAACAATGCAGGTTACAAATTGATCGAGCATCTTGTAATTCAGATGTGGTTTAAGCATGCACATCAGTTAAGCTTGTTAGCTGATGCTTGCTCTAAATTCATTCACCTCGGTAGAGGGACCAAATCTGCATTTTTTTCTGCAGAAACTGTTCCTTCTATGTTACTGTTATCATATGATGCACTTCCCTGTTTTCATAAAAGGGCTTTGGACTTAATGACACAACATGAGGGTGGGGTTTTGGGGATTTTGTTTGTTTGTTTTTAAATACAATCAAAGATGATCTGTGCAACTGTGTTAACTCCAAAATATGATGTCTTACCTCAAGGGTAAGTAATATTCTCTCTGCACAAAAAATATTAATTTTTTTTTCATATTTCCTGGAAAATATCTACTAATTTTGAACATTATATTGTTTTGAGGGAGTGGAAAATCATCAAAGTACACGGTACACACAAGAAACCTAAATATAATACTTTCAGATTGAACTCCATCTTTCTAGCCCATGAGGAAATGAGAATTGAATGGATTTATTAAGCCTCCTTGATTATAGCAGGAAAGCCAAACACAGGCTCCCTGCTGGTTTAACCTGGGAAAAGCTCAACCTTAACACATGCCAGCAAGTTGCGTCGGCTTGAGAATTACCTGGGGAAGTGCTCTCTGTATGTCTCAAAACACTGGTCAACCTCATCTGTGCATCCAGTCATGCTCCAGAACTGTTGTAAAACAAGAAAAATCAGGACATCTCTAGTGAAATGTGCATTATGAAACAAATTTTCTCCTAAACTCTTTAGGCCCCCAGTCTGCATAAGTATAGAGGTACCTCACTATATATAGTATCATCCATGCCAGATCTCTGTCAAAAAAGATTGCAGTTCAAGAAAACCATTCTGTTAAAACAAAATTAGGTTAAGAAGTAATTGCGTGTGTGATTGCATCAAAGGCAGGACAGCAACTTCGACTGGAGATGGAGGCAGCAAGAGATGGGCAGTCTGGAACAGTACTTTGCGATAGTATATATAAACATGTCTATATGTCTTTACTTCCCTTGCCAAAAAAAAGCCTCATTAAATTTCTTATAAGTGTATTTTTTTGCCCTTCTTCCACAGCTTTTTCTGCTACGTAGGAGTTTGGCCCCCAACTGCCATTTCTGAATAACTGAGGAACAATATTTTTTAGTCACAATAGCCTACAGTTTTAATTCTTGACAGGATAAGCATATGGGCCTTGAAGCTACAGTATGTGAAATTGGATCCTTGGCACCACATCTTATTATAAATGTCACATTTGATACTTATATGAAATGTTACATTACACACAACATTTGTCTTATATGAAAGATAGAATTCAAGGAAGGAATACAGACTTGCCTGAATCTCACTTTCTTCATACATGTGTGGGTTAGATGGTTTGCAGATACATGTCTGCATATGAATCACAGACCATCATATCAGGTGTTCTGACAGGACCATTCATCCACTGCTGGTTAACTTATAGTCAAATAATTTAGAGTACCAAGTCAATGAAGACATCCATGTGATGACTTCTGACATATTTATTATTCAGCCTTTCTCCTTTAACTGTAGGTACTTCCACTACATTCTGGTGTTAAAACTTCTGTATGTATTTTTAAATACAAAAATGTCATGACTTAGAGAAAACCGTCAAAAGCACAGTCTTCAGCTTTCATTTGTTTGCCTGCTTGGGTGCTATTTAAACCAGATTGTGACTTTCCTGACTTTCTTATATGTATATCTTCCCCATATTTTTGAATCACAGTTTTTTTGCAAAGTAACTTGCATTCTCTAAGATGGAATTTTAAATTTCCATTAATAGTTGAAACAGTAAAGCTCAATATTTACCTCCTATGAACATTGATATTAGTCAAAATCAGTATACAGATCCTTGTAAAGAGCGATCAGTGAAATAGAGTTCAAATTTTTTTAAGTTAAAGTTTACTCTCCACTACCTTCACCTTACTTCTAATTTGTGTGAAGAACATACTAGACTACTACAGACAACTCAGTGCAAAGGATGACTAAGAGTTCTTGATTACATTAAAGGTATACAGATTTTTGAAAACTCATGGTGTCCTAGGGTATCCTGCCTTGCTTCCAGTGGCTACTCCAGAAAGGCACAGGACTCCCATAGGATGTGGGTATATATTTTAACCTTACCTGCACTGGGACAGCTAAGGGTATCTGAGATGGCAGTAGGTAACTAACTACCTGTGGAGAACCTTTAGTGAGTGTCACTGAGAATCAGCCCATGAAGGGCTAGGAAAATACCATAGGAAAGAAGGTAGCATTCAACTTTAAAAAGGAATGAGGATTTGGTGTATTATAGCTTAGAAAGCCTAACTTAACATCCCTGGTGGTACTTGAACAAATTATTTAGCACTGCAAATGAATACAGCTTGAGTTGTGCACAGCTTTTGACACAGTTTCAGGAGACATATTGGGGCTCAGGTATATTCAACAGAAAGTGCGTACATAGCCTGTTTAAAAAAAAAGAAAAAGTGTATTCAAAGATCATGTTACCAATAAGAGTAAATTTTGTGCGGGCATTTTGAATGACCTCTCACTGATTCTCTTCTGGATCTCATTCAGCACAACATTTTATTGGTAATTTGGATGATTGATCACTCCTCCCAGATCTGGTATCCTCTGTGAACTTGCAGAGAGCACACTCTGTGCTATTGTCCAGGTTACTAACAAAGACATTAACTACTGTTGGCACCAGTACTACTCCTTTAGGGAAATCCCTAGCAACCAGCTGCCAGCTGGACTTCGTACCACTGATCACAACCCTTTCAGCCCAGCAGCCCAGCCAAGTTTCCACCCGTTATATTCCTTACCTATCCAAACTATATCTGACCAATTTGGTTATAGGAAAACAATGGGACACTATATCAGAAACCTTCCTAAAAGCAAAGTGAAGAACACCCCAGTGCTCTTCACAGGCCCCAAAGTTAGTCAGCTCATCACAGAAAACAATTGTATTGGTTAGGCACAGTTCGACTTAGTAAATCCATGCTGACTGTTCCCAAACACCTTCTTGTTCTTCATGTGTTTGGACACAGCTTCCAGGAGGCTTTGCTCACAGACTTCCCAAAAACTGAGGTTAAGCTGATTGGCCTTCTTGAAGATGGGTATGACATTTTCCATTTTTCAGTCATCAGAAATATTCTCCAGTCACTGTGAACACTCAAAACTGACAGGGAGTGACTGCAGTGATGTTGGTCAGCTCATTCCCCACCTTGAAATTCATCCCTTCTGCTCACATGGACTCGTGCATCTTCAGTGTGCTTAAGTGGTTCCTAACTCTATTTCTTTTACTGTGAGTAAAGCTTCAGTCACTAGAGTTAACAGCTTGGGAGTCCTGAGGGTAAATCTTGCTAGTGAAAAACAAGATAAAGAAGCCATTGAGTACCTTAACCTGTTCTGAGTCGTTGTCACTAGGTCCTCTGCCCTACTGAACAATGAATCTGTATTTTTCTTAGGTTTTCTTTTTGCTATGAATGTACCTATAGAAGTCCTTCCTGTTGACCTTCACATCCTTCACAAATTTCAACTGCAGCTAAGCTTTGGCTTTCTTAACATTCAACCCTGCATGCTCAGCCAATGTGTCTATATTATTTCTGCCTAGCTTATCCCAATTCCACATTACTTTTACTTCCTATTTGTATTTGAGTTCAGTCAAGAGTTTCTTATTCAGCCACAGTGGCTTTGTGCCACACCTGTTTGACCTGCACATGACACTGGACTTACCTTGTGCTTCTCTCAGAGGTTGTCCTGGAAGATCAGCCAACTCTCCTGGGCTCCTTTGCCCTCCAGGCCAGTCTCCCATGAGATCATGTGAAGAAGTTCTCTGATCAAGTCCAGGGCTGCACGTTGTCATGTCTCAGAACCTTTAACTCCACCATATCATGGTTGCTGCAGCCTCATCATCCTGCAGTTCTCATCAACATCCTCACCGCCAACCTGTTCTTTACTCATTGATTTGCATAAATACAAAATAATCCTAAAATGACTAGGCATGAGTATATCAAAAAAGGATCTGAAGTTGATTATTTGACAGAGTGGTTTTGCTGCAAAATTCCTTTTCTGGGATATACTGCTAGAAAATAATCTGGAAATCATAGGAAATATTTTTTTTACTTTACTTGGCATCGTGTTCAGTTTTGGCCATTACATCTTCAGAATGACACAAAGAAACTGAAGAGAACCCAAAGAAGCAATGACAGCACAGATCAGGACAGCTGACAAGAAGCAGTTGGTAAATTTGCAGAAAAGCTCATTTAGGCCAACTATTTGGAAGACTTTTCTGCAAGGATAGTGAAGCATTACAGTGGGTTATCTCACAGACTGTAAAACTCCCTTCCTTTCATTTTATGTGAAAAAGGCCTCTCTCTTAATTTTCCAGGAATTCTAAACAAAGACATAATCATCCCAGCTTCTTTTAATGTTAAAAAACTGTTCCTAAAAAAAATTCTAGTCCTGAAAATGAAGATTTTGTTTCTTTTTCAGTGTCATCTTTGTTTGTTTGGGGTTTGTTGTTGTGAATTTCAGCCAACTCCTTTTTTTTTTTTTTTTTTCTGCCAGAATGTTTATTTGGGTTCAAAAAAGCCACTTTAAGCATTCTTCAAATGGAACCAGAGGAGACAGCCTGTCCTTCCTGCTACATCACATACCTCACTGATGGCATCATTAGAATAGCACTAAAAACCGACTCTGGGGTACTGATGTGGTGAAGGCATGACCCTATTCCCTTCCTCTCCTGTTACCCAGGGGCAGCAAGGAACAAGTACTACATTTTCTCCAGGATTAAGATTGTCCTGGAGAAGCATGTATGGAAGGTTCTGTCTGTCCTTCTATCCTGACAAATCTCTGACAGTGCAGAAATATTCAGGCCTTTAAAAAGCATCTATTAGTGTGTTTGTTTACATTAGTAGTACCAACTAAAGAACATCAAGTGCTGAATATTTCCAGAAAATGTAAAAAAATTATGGACTACAAAATGTACTAATGTTTAAATAACAGGCTTTTGGAAATTCTGTTGTTTCAGGACAATTTTTATCAGTTAATTTATCTTTTGAATTGGGCTACTTTCTTTACCTGGCAATTAAACCTGTGCCAGCATACAGATGACTTCCCCATATCTTGGAGGAGGGTCTCATTTGTCCTCCTTTGATTACTTGTGTGCGTATTATCAGAGTTGTTACCTAGCTAGCCAGCAAACAGACATCCTGTAAACCTGTTTCCCCTAATGCTGAATGCATCGTTTCTGCTGTGTACACAAATTGTACCAGGCTGATACCGCTGATTCTGAATTTCCAAGTTTACACTGCCTTTATGACCAACCCTAGGCATATAAATGACAGCCCTAGGAACAGAAATAACAGTACGCTTGTTCCTTTCCTTTGTACAGTTCCATCAGGAGCTCAAAAATAGCAATGTTTCTAAACAATTTTTATTTTCTTCCTGTAGATTATAACACAAGTGAACAAAAGCAAGCATGTAAGAAACATGAACTTTATGTGAGTTTTCGAGACTTAGGATGGCAGGTATGGTTATAAATGCTGTTTCCTATTAATTCTAATTGGGACAATCTATTTTACAGTACCTCATTATTTACAGTCTGTTTTCCTCATAGGAATTGGTATTTCACTGATGAGACACAAATCCTTTAAATGCATTTTGTAATGAATCCCTATCACTATTGCTTCACCTTTTTTGGCTGCTGCTCTCTCAAAGATTTTACAGACATTAATGGCTTTAAGATCTGGATTCATTCACATAAAGATAAGTTTGAACTATTATTCAAGATATGACTAGATCTGCAGTAAAGGAAACCAAAATCCCCACTTTTGAAATCTGCATTTGAATTCTCCCTGGTTCAGTGCTGTCTACTGCAGGTCAGAAAGATTTCACTAAGGTAGGGTCTGTAGGGAACTAGAGCTTGGATCCCTGCTCAGTGATCTTTAGAGCACCATACCTAAGTTTATATAAATTCTAGGAAAAACTCATCCTGCCATACAGTAACAAAAAAAGAAGGTACTTGTAGTGAAAGGTCATAAAGACAGAGGCAGGGCATTATGAGAAATGAAAAAAGAGATCAGTCTAGGGTTTTTTTCCAGGAAGAAAGGAGATATCTATAAAGAAAGAACAAGAAGTCCATCCAACCTATAACCTAGCCATATTGCATATGTAGGTACGAACTCGGAGATGGCTGGCTGTGCATTTCACAGTTCTCTGAATTGTTTATAACAATTCTCCGTGAGCAGAACAAGTCTATGAGGAGAAAAATTGTGCTACCTCTTTAGTGACAGCTCATCCTTTACATATCTAGCTCAGATTCTCATACAGCCTCATTACTCTGCCTGACTTTTTTGTAGTATGTTTATTCTCACCGCAGCCTGAAGAAGTAGGCAGAGACTGTTTTCCCAACTCTGCAGAGCATAATCACCCTGTCCATGGCCACAGAGCAAGCTTGTGGTATTGATTTAAACGCAGGCTACTGAACAAGTGAGCCATTGTCTCTCTGTAGATCACAGATTTTTCCATGTATCACTGTTTGTTTTTTTTATTTTTTTGAAACAGTAAATTCTGATATACCCTAAGATGTGCAAGGTTCTCAGATCAGTCATTCAAGGTGGCCATAGAGAAAAGAATTTTTATTTTTTTTCCCCCCACAAAAAAACACCTGAAGAATTCAAAGTTTCAGTTGGAAAGCCAAAGCTACACTGAACAATATTTGATCAGTGAAACTCAGGGTGAAATGAGATAAAAAGAAACAAAACCCAAGTAGATACTTGATCCTCTCCACCCTTCCCACAGCACCTCCATACCTTTGCCTGGCAAAGGAGGAATTCAGCAAACTAAACACATAGCTTTCATTAACATTTTAAAATATTTTCTCTCCTGTGGTCTTTTCCTCATGCTGTGTTGCTAGAAATACTCAAAATGCATGATTCAGTGACATTCCAATGGGTAATCCCCAACAATCCTCAGTCTCATGCAACAATACAATTAATGGTATTGGGTATGCTGAAGAAAGAGGATGCATTTTAATTACTTTTATTGCACCAAGAAGTGCTCAAGATTTTCAGTCTGGGAAGAAAAGTATTCTGACAAACATATTTGGACCTTTAATTCCCATTACAGCCTCATTAGTTCATATTCAGTACAGATTTCTAAGTTTAATTTTCATCTGAGTTTTGCATGAATGAAACAAATACTTTTTTGGGGGAGGGGGGCAAAAAAGTTAATTTAACATGCCACATTCTGAAGTTTATTCTGTCCTTTGACAAGTCTTAGTTAGTTTGATATAGTTTTAATTATCTGAGTGAGAAAAAAAAAAAAAAAAAAGAGTGGGTTTATTTGTTTTTGTTTTAGGACTGGATTATTGCACCGGAGGGCTACGCTGCGTTTTACTGCGATGGAGAGTGTTCTTTCCCCCTCAATGCCCACATGAACGCAACAAACCACGCCATCGTTCAGACTCTGGTACGCCTCTGCCTATGTTGTAATTGCCTAGTTTGCAATTGCGAGTGTCTTGGGACGGGGTGTCTCTTCCTCTCTGTTTGCTACTATCGGCTTTTGATTATTTCTGTGTAAATGATAACCCATTTCAAATGCGTGCTTTGATGATTATGCTGGAGAGAGAATGAACTGTCCAGAGTTTCCCTTCCATTTCAAAAGCAGTTACATACGAGAAGACCGTGTCATATTACTAGAGAATTGTGTGGAGAGGAACCAAAGGGGCCCCCCGGTCCCACTTCCAAGGGTTTTTTTACAGCTTACTGAAGCTCCCTGTTAACATCTACATGCTATACCTTCCAGAAATGTTGACACTTGGCCACTCTGTGGACCTCTGTTGGCAGAGATACTTAAACTGTAATTTATTGTGAAGCTTTGCAAGCAGATGCATTTGCATGTAAGAAATTGTGTTCAGTCATGCCTGGCTAACAAATGCAATTTATAAATAAGGGTGTTTGGATATGTTGCTCTGCCTGGTACATGTAAAAGGGGATTTGCAGCCAGCTTTCTGCCTCTGTTTGTTCTTATATTAGTCCTGTGCGTCAACTGGAGCAGCCAAAAAGATGATCTTAGTTGGAGCAGCTGGCTAGGCCTCCTCTACCCCAGCAGCATTCAGCTATGGTTCGGAAAACACAGCACCTACAGAAATCAAGACATTTAGACTGCCTAAATGTAATATTGTGAGCCTGATGCCTGGTCATGATTTTTCACCTGTGCCAGCTGAAGAACTGGCTCTGAACAGCACCAGTATTAGCAGAATGATTAAGAAGCAGAGGAATGAGACATAATACATGAGGAGGTAGTGGGAGTACGAAATCAGAAGAGGAAAGGGTTGCCATCCCTAATTAGTTTCTGGAAAGGTCAAGGCACTCGACTGCAATTAGAGAAACATGGGTTTAAGGGTCCCTCTGATTTAAACTAATAATAGGAAAGTATCCTGACCACCAGACTATGCTGATGAGTCTGTCCATGGATGGCTAACTTTTTCTCTGATTTCAATGTAAAAATCCTGGGCCTGAAAAGCCTTTCCCCCTTCAGAAACGAGTGCAGCTATTACCCTCTTGGGGAAAACAAAAAATGCCAAAAACCAAAGCCCAACAAACCCCCCCCCCCCAAACAAACAAACAAAGTTTGGTTTTCTTGCTGAGAGAAAACAAATCCTGCTTGTGAAATTGCTAAATACTTCTACATGAGTACTCCTACATTTTTAAAACCTCAGCATGTGCCGAGACTTTTTTCAACTTTTCATTTATTCACCTTCTACAAGTCCAGCCACCAATGCAACATTATTCCTCTACACCAGCATTCAAGTCAGCAAGATTCACAAAAGGAAGGGAAAAATTCAGAGGCTGGAAATAAACAAAAGAATTGTGGTAAGGGGTTCAGGTGAAGGGGAACAGCAAATGCTACTTGGCAAGGAATAGAGCAATGTGCCTAGGCGATGATGAAGAACAGCATATATGCAGTCCTGAGCTGAAAAGAAGTAGGTCGGCAAAGCGGTAGTTTAGCATTAGGCAAACATTGTCCAGAAAAGTTGCCAGTATCAGTGAGATCCCCAGGTTAGAGTTCCCACCTACAATTATGGACTGTTAAATAAGAAGTGGCCCAGTGCTACTTTCTCTCATGCATCTTTCCTTTCCAAAAATGGTTAATTTCCCGTGATTAAGAAATTTCTGTAGTTTGTCCTATTTTTAAAATTGAATACTTAAAATTTCCCTCCTTTTAATGGCCTTTTTGGAATTGTGTGTCTCCCTCTGCATGTACTGTACATGCATTCAGTTGTGCAGCCAAAAAATCATGAGGCTAATTAAATTTTAACTGCACATAAATTAGATGAGATAACAGTAGTTGAATGCTTTCTGGTTTAAATTATACAAAATTCAGATTTACACAAGGTGTGCACATGGGGATGGCTTGGGAAACGATTATTCATACACCCCACCCTAATCCAAATGTAATCATCTCCCAGCCATACTGATTACACCATTCTAAAAAAGCCCACTCTTTGGGTTGGGAAGTGATTGTTCCTTGGTCCCCCTCCAAAATTTACTGACTCTTTTTTTTTTTTTTTTTTTTTTTTTTTTTGTAACAAGAATAGGAGAAATCCTGGGCCAGTACCTCCTCTTCTCTTCTCTTCTCTTCTCTTCTCTTCTCTTCTCTTCTCTTCTCTTCTCTTCTCTTCTCTTCTCTTCTCTTCTCTTCTCCTCTCCTCTCCTCTCCTCTCCTCTCCTCTCCTCTCTTCTCCTCTCTTCTCCTCTCTTCTCCTCTCTTCTCCTCTCTTCTCCTCTCTTTCTAAGACTGAACTTAGGCAGACAGATGATACAGATGCATAAATGTATATATACAAAAGATAGACTGCATTTAATGAGTTAGACAAGCTTTCTTCTCCTCTCTTACTTCCCATCACCCTCTGAACAGGCGTTGGAGTAGTGTTGACATCCTGGTCATGCAAGCCAGTGGATCAGCAGGTTGACTTGCCCTGATATCCAGGCTCACTCTTGAAAAGGCTGTGAGCATTGCTGTGGTGTGGGGCGAGCCGGGCCATGGTGCTCCCAGCTGGGGTGGCAGGGGCTGGTGGATCCAGGAGTCATGGCAGGGCAAACATCTGCCTAGACGAGGCACAATCATTCTTTTCTCCAGTGCTTTGCTATTCATTTGTTAAACTGTTTTTAAATGTGTGTCTAAACCCTTACTAAACTGCTACTTCAGGATTTATTATTGCTCGTTTCAAAAGACCTTCTCATGGTAACAGTTATGTAAAAATCGTTTCCTGATAGACTGTTCTCTGTTGTCTGGCAAAGGCTCTGGGCTCATATCACTGCAAGACAGATGGCTCTAACAGATTTACAAAGACTTAACATACAAATGAAACCTATTACTGCTGAAGTCTTCATCCATGCCTTAATAATCTCTTGCCCTCTCTATTACAACTCCCTCTTTTCTGGCCTCCCCAGTTTCCAAGTCTTCAGCATGTGTAGAATATTACATCCAACCTTCTTTCAAGTACAAAGAACTTGTATTATTTCCCCCATTTTCAGATATTTCCACCAGATCTTGTTCATTCTGGGATGCTGTTCAAAAGTCTTTTCCTTCTCTTTAACCTCTCATTGATATATTTCAGCCTAGTGTACATAAAGCCTTCTCTGCCTCAGCCCTTTCCCCAAACCTTCTGTCCAGCTGGCACCCACCTTATGAATTGATTTTGACTTCAGTGGAAGTAGAATCGGCTCCACGGATACCTAGATAAGACCTTAAAATGCACTCACACTGTCTGAGAGCCCACATCTTGCCATTTCATAGGCTGAAAACAGTTTCAGTATGAGCCTTTGCTGTGTGCAACAGACTTCCCTCCGTGCTGAGACCCTGACACAGGAAAGCATTTTAGCACATGCTGGGGTCGTGGTGAGATCTGGGACTTGAGCCCATGCTTCATGTTAAGCACCGTCCTCAGCAGAGGTGGTACTGACAATATGTTTAAGTGCTTTCCTGAGAAGGCACCTAAGTCCAACTCTTTTCTAAATTGCCTCTGAAAACCAACTTTTTGTCTTGGCCACTCCTCCTTATTTATCTCTGCATCTGCTATTATTGTATAATCTGCCCACGCAATTGAAATCAGAGCAACATTCTGGAGGTAAGCTGTGCTTTAAAGTTGCTAACTGAGGAAAATGTGTGACCACAGCACCCTCTGAATTGCAAAGACATGTTTTGCACTGATGTTGTCCTTGTACCTCTCTGTTTGATATATGAGCTATGTATTTATCTGTCTTTCAGGTTCATTTGATGTTCCCTGATCATGTACCAAAGCCATGCTGTGCACCAACAAAACTGAATGCAATCTCCGTGCTCTACTTTGATGACAGTTCCAATGTTATTTTAAAAAAATACAGGAATATGGTGGTGCGTTCATGTGGCTGCCACTAGAATAAGAAAAATAATCTAAAGCAGAGGGGTTTATTCAGAATTGTAATAAAGTCAAGATATGAGCCTTGCTGATGAAAAGGCAGTCCTAAATTTATTCCATTTCATGTCATCTCTCATTTAAATGTACAGTATAATGTATATAGTAGCTTTTATTTATTTAAAAGTATATAGTTTCTTTTGTGTGAGCAAAATTTCAAAACCATTTATTTCATGGGTCACCTCACTATACAGTAGAATTTCACAAACTAATTTTTCAGTTGACCATACTGGAATCTGTTTCATTCCATTTCAATATTTTAAAGTAAAGTAAAGCCTTTGTATAGACTTTTTTAAAGCTAGAAACTCCAGATCTTCTGTAACTGCTTCATATTGTTAAAGGAACTAAAATACGTTTGGTCATATTGTGCCAATGAAAACTGTGGTGGGGTATTTATTTAGAAAAAGGCACAGAAAAAAACCTAAACAAAACTGCTTGGCTAAACATATTTTTTCTTTTAGAAGTTCTGCTCCATTAGAAAAAGTGAAATGTTGAACAGTGTTTAAGTAAATAAATAGTAGATAGAAAATAGAAGTTACATGATTGCACATAATTGTTATAACTATTTTGTTTAACAAGATGAGTGTAACTGGAGGAGTATGTTATTTCTTGGCTTGTGGGCTGCAGTTCGCAAAAGGCTCAAAGCTTCGGGAATTCTGTGGAGACAGACTCTCGCTTCTATCTACGACTTTCCAAGTTAACTCTAAAAATTGAACTACAACATTCTTACCTCAAATCACATCAGTCTATTATCTATCACACTGCTCTGGCAAATATTTTTATAATAACAACATAAGGTGAAATAAATAAGAAAACCCAAAACCAAACACACAAGCCTTCCCATTCCACAGGAAAGTTACTATAGTCACAAAATATACAGAAGACAGGGTATGGAAGGGCTTTGCTTCATTTAGCTCCCATTTCTGGACATGTTTTCTGAGCGTGGGAGGGAAGGCACAGGAGATGCAGCAGTTGTCACCTGTTTAATTGAAAATCTTGTCCCTGATGGTGGTTGTTCTCAAGGAAAGATAAAAATCACCTTTCCTAAGGAGCTGTTGGGTAGTTTACAGCCTACTTTCAGTCCCATCTTCTTTTCTATCATCAGGTGGAAATTGCATTAAATTGTGACATTTGAGATGGGATATCTTTCCCTTTTTTTTTTAGCATCAATCAGTGTAACTGTGAAAATTCTTAAATCCATATAAATAATTTTTAATCTCCCTAAATTTTAGACCTCAAATGAAATCCTGTGGTTGTGAATTGCACAACTAATTACAGATTATCATTCTCACCACCACTATCCACATGCTTATTTTGAATTTAATGTCTTTGGACATCCCTTTGTTTTAGTGCTATGAAAATGGGAAAATAGAAACTCTATTTTCTCTTTATTACATGGCTAATTATAATATATGCTTTTATCATGAATTGCCTTGATTAAAAATGCTTCATTTAAACAGTTCTCAGAGTGTCGTTAAAAATTGAATAGGACTTACCAGTTTCTCCTTAGACAGTCTATTCATGTAAACTCTGACCTCTCTGGTTATTTAAAGCATGTTTCAGAAAACTCAGATTATTACAGACTGATACAATCAGCGTGTGTGTGTGACTGTGTGTATGCATGTGAATGTGCAGCTGTCTTTTTTGCAGAAACTAATTTATTTTATCTTGCTATTGGAGTAATACATAAACCCTTTTTTATGCATACACTCAGTTTTTTTGAAAAATTAACACTTCTAATTTCAGTCTTGGGAGCTCTTTCCCCTTAATGCAATGGTTCCATTTTATACTTCCATCTCTATTTTATACTGACATTGCCTACGTATCTACGTTTAGTTGCAGTTCAGGCACAAGGGTGTATAGCAAAATGAATTACCATTTTGGAACAGTTAAATTCCTGGGTTGTGTTCAAAAAATTTACTGGTTTCTGTATAAATTGGGTAGGTGGATATGCTTTTTTGAACTCAATTTATTCTAAATGGAAATTGATGGAAATTAAATTTTGGGGTACATTAAGTAATATATTTTAAAATAATGGTGTACCATTTTGAGAATAAGAAACTGAAGATTATTGTTATATTATTCTTTAAAATATGCTGTTGGAATATATTTCTATATTTTGAGACATAATAAACCTGTAATACTATTTTCTTCTGCTGCGATTTTGCTTCTGAGACACATGACAAAATGACACCAGCCTCATATATTGTTTTAAAGGTAAATGCAAGAGATGTCTAATAGTTATGGACTGATTTTGTTGCAGTTCATTTATTAATATCGATATGTTGTAAAATCACTTTTCTTTTATTACTTCTTAAGCTGCAGCTGGTAACCCATCCACACTAGTAATAAAAATCATGCCTCCAAATCATACCTCCAAAGGGTAATACTCCACTCAAAATACACTAGAAGGTAGAAACAGTTTTTTAAAATCTCCATAAACCCCTAACTGGTCTTCCCTCTGTTTGAAAGGAAGAATAGTAGCACCACATGTTCTGCACGCACTGGGTAAGTGTATATATGTGTGTTTTCACGTAAACATCTCTAGTGGTACCTAATACTTCTTGTTCTTTTCCTAGATCCTCTCAAATACCTGTTATTTTATATATGTGTATTATATACACACATATAATGCATATAATGTGTATGTAATTATATTAAATTATATTAAATATATACCCGTATCTATAGCTGTATCTACTTATAAAGATCGTTCCATTATCATTTAGGCCACGAGAGCTTTGTTCTTTTAAAAGTTGTTTAATCTTTCTGCATCCTTAAGAACTGGAAAGAGTCTAAAGGGGGGCTAAAACCCAGAAAAACAGGAGCAGCTCTGTACAGAGTTAATGTTGCATTGTGGGTCAGAGCTTCTTAGTTTTTAACTTATTCATAATGTTAACACCATTGCTACACGTTCTGGCCCAAAATGAAATGTTTACAGGATGTTATCAGTCACTACTTCTATGGCTTAGGAGTATTCACGCAGCAGAAGTCAGAGCTGAGAGGTGAGCGGCATCCCAGCAGCGGTTTCATCTCCCTTTAAAAGCGTGTGGTGTGATTTTGGTGTCCGAGACAAAGTGAGCTCTGACACTCTGAAGCATGGAGCATTTGTAAGCTCTCTGATGTGCTAAGCTGTGAACCCACAGAACAGTCTTCCTTCAGTTAGACCATCTGACGGGCATCTCCCCTTCATCTGGATGCCCATTTCCACAAAGTATTTACAGGGTCAAGTTTTTCTGATTTTGGCCAAAGGTTTTAAATGCACTGGGTAGCAGGGGTGGGAGACACTTGCTGATAGTAAAAAACCTGCTTGTTTGGATTGCATTAGCTCTCTTTTTGATATGAGATCAAGCTAAAAATTAAATTAATATAAAGCTGACTGGTATCTGACAACGTCAGATACATCCAATCAGTACAAAACTCAGCTAGAGATATCTCAGACAGACATTGGCATGGATGTCTTCAGACATAAAGGATGCTCGTTCCTTGTTCTGTTGTGTATCTGTCCGAAGGGCTGTCCTGACTGACACGTCCTTTACAACCCCATGACTCTTCCTTCTGCAGCAGCCTGGTTAGGCTTTTAGGTAAATATGCATTTGTGTGGAGTGAATGGGTAGGTAATAAAAATGGAGCCATATGAGGAACCGAGACTTTCTTTAGGGACAACATAAAGAAATTGCACTTTTGGATTACAATTCACCCATTTGTCTCCAAAGACTACAGAGTGGGTCTAGGGTGATGGCTCTGCTATAGATCTTGTCTGAACAACCGTAGCAAATTACAGTCCCTGACACCTTTATAATAATGTCACATTGTTGAAAAATTTTAACGGGGATGTTTAATTGGGACGCAGAGTTTTGAGAAATCTTTCGTTATCGTGATGGGGTGTCAGACACTTCCATTTTGGAATATAATTTTCTCTACCATTTACTTGCAAAAGGTTGTATTGCTGACTACATATTTCTTTTGTTCTGTGGGGTTTTTTGTTTGTTGTTTGGGGGTTTTTGTCCTCTTTTGAAACAGTTTCATAGCAAAGTGACTTTGACTCAAAGACGGTTAAAAAAAGGGATTAGGTTGTACTCAGAAGATTCTGAATTGTTTCAGCAATAACCAAAGGATTCTAATAATCAGGACTTTAAAATCATGTTCTTTGCAATATCTACCAACTCTTGTGCTCACACATTCAGCTGTGCATAGGGAGATTCTGACATGTGGTGCCTGAATGACGAACAAGCCACATGTGAATTATACAGCATTATCTTTTACTATCTCATCTGCAGTCACAGAACTTGCAAACTGTGATTTACAATGTGTTACTGAATTCTTGCTCACATGGCTTGAGCAAGAGCTTGATTAAAAACAAAAGAAAACTAAACTAAAAATCCAACAAAAAACAGCGAGAGGAGGTTTTCTTGCCATCTTAATTCAAATAAATCAGCACCAAACGTGGTACATGAGGGACCAGGAATCTCATGTGAATTAAATGGGCCTTTTGTATTCTGTTTTCCATATTTACAACACATGACACAGAAACTTCTCCTGACTGCTATATTTCCAGCTAAATACTTTCTGTTCTGTTCCTGCACTTTTTTGCTTCCAGATGGGCGCCATCAATTACTATTATTAATATGAATGAAGATATTTTCATGGCTTTAGCAGATGTTAATGTTTTATAAAAGAAGTATGTGTTATTAGTATTGCTGCTTTACAGGTACAGAAAGGTGGAGAGACTTGCTCAAGAGAGGAGCAGATGAGAGGCAGGACAGGGGAGACAACCAGATCTCCAGTGGTCCAGTGCTCTGACCCCTGTCACACACTGCTGGAGTGATGCATACACTTGATGCTCCTGTCCCTGCAGCTCATAACTTTATGTATGATAGGCAATCTTAGGGGTTACCTGGACCTATACTTTGCATTTAGCAAAAGTTTGATTGTTTGCGGAAATCTGGGCAGTGATTGATAAAATCAAAGCATATGCAGGGTGCAGACCACACCTTTCCTATGTGGAAGTGGTTGTATTTTAAAGTTACTTCTATGGAACCAACCAAGATCTCCCTGTAGCAGATGTTGGAGCACCTTTTCAGCAGCGTCGTAAATCTGTACCAGTGGAGTTGAAGGCAGTGATCCATTCCTCCCTTTTCTTCCTTAAATTTTCCTCCTGCTCAGTGTGGAGTTCAGCAATGTGTTAAGACTGAGACTGTGTTAATATTTGTGTAGCAAAGGATCTCAGGGCAGATGTTGGCTGAAGATATGAGAGGAACATCTTTTCTAGGGAACAGCCCTCTCAGAGAATAATATTGAAGCAGAGATGTGGGAGCAGGATATGTAACTCGTCCTGGTCTCTTCTGGGTCTCCAACTGACTTGTGAGCAGAAACATTTGTAAAAATGAGAATGCTCTTTAATTAAATTGTGAGGAGAAAAACTTGGAGGGGGCTCT